ATCAAAGCTAATTTTGGTGCCATCTCTAGTCTAGCCCCTGTGGAGTAACCCACCACCCACGCCTCTAAGTCATATTTCAGATGGATCTTTTAGTAGATTCTGTTTATCGGACTCATCGTATTTTGATTATGCTGCTATTGATATAAGATATAGATAGGTAGATGTTATGAATGTGTCCTAGTGTCAATAGGGAGTAGATTGTGTAGGGAGACATAAACTCATAATGTCACCAATAATGTAGGCTTATCCACAATTCCTGTATGCCTTTATAAATATTAATATTGACGTGAATGATCTGAGCCTGCGTTAAGTCGACCCGGAGAACCATGTGATGTTTCATATTAATCACCAGGCTTAAAAATTCAACAGTAAAAATACAAGAAGGCCCTAGCCCTAACTACAAAGTAGTAACCCTGCTTACTGAACCTACTAAGACTAGGGACTTTTGTGAAATTTTCAAAATATTTATAAAAAATATAAATACAGTGTAATTGAATAGAGCCAGTTATCACCCTCACAAACATGTTCTCCTTAAAAACCTTGCCATACTCCTCGCCGACATTGACACATGTGACATTTCCTCAACACATACCTTTCCTTAAGGGCACTTTTCTGATACAGGACTGTTTCCTTTGTACTAGCCGCAATGTTGTCTATGCCATTTTTTGCACCCGCTGGCAGATGCCGTACATAGGGGAGACAGGACGCTGACACTCTGACAGGTGTACTGAACACCTCCGTAATATTACGCAAGCTAAACATGTCCCGTCTCTAAACATTTCAATAGAAGCAACGACAAGAGCACGGCGGATTTTACAATTTAAGTGATCCTGACCAGCACAACCACACCCAGCCGGGTGAATGTAAAAACAAGCTTATCCAGACCTATGGAACCTTGACACCATAATGGCATGAACGTCATGTCGTAATTCACAGCTTGAACCTTTGCCCCGCCCCGTCACGACCAATCGCAGTGGACTGACTTCTCTTTTTTCACTCTTTTTGCCTGTATTTAATTACTCACCTACTTATTTTCTGTCACAATCCCTTTGCTGCCCTCTCGGATACTAATTCTCATCTAAGTGCTATTTTTTTTATTGTTTTTTCTGTTGTTTTTTTGCTGAAAAAGGCTTTCTGCCGACATCTGCGTTTTTATGTTGCATTCCTTTTTTGATTCATTTCATATTACTTATGGACTACTAACAGACAAATTTAGATTGAAATTTATAATCATTTGATTTTGTTTGGTCCTGTGTGGAAATTTTCCCCTGGAGCATGAGTATTTTAGGACTAGGAGCCAAGGGTTCAAAGTGTTCAAAATAGCATTTTCACATCAAAATAAAATAATTTAACGTCAAATTCCTATTTTTTCATAAATAAAATCAATAAATTGCAATTTTTTTAGCGAAAAATAATCATAACTTATTAAATTTTAAAAATAAAAAGCTCAAATTTGTTGAGGTGTTGCAACAAATCAATTTAAAAAATCAAGCAATTATTTGTATTTATAAAAGAGGAAATGAAATGCTCATTATCAGTGATTCTGAAACAGCTACAATCAAGTATCCAAGAAGCAAGCCCTACAAAAGAAATCTTAAATTTAAAGCTTGTTACTGAATTTATTATTGCACATTTATGATTATATGTCTGTTGCATTGAGTTGAAGCAAATTTTTGATATTGTTGAATTTGTTGGTTGTCATTTGGCCATTAACTTAGACTGAATAAGGACGGCATGACCAAAACTTGGAAATAATGGGATCATCATTACATTACAATATATTACTGTGCAGAGGTCAAGTGAATATCCTATTAACTCAATAATATTTGGTAAAAAATATCACCCAATGAATGTTCAATATTCACTGTTTCAGTGATGTTGACCTTTTGGTACATGCAGATGGATCAATTTGATTTTGCTGCCAATTAACACAATTTAGTGCCCAATGAAAAATTGAGCATTGCAAATTTATTGTAGGCTAAAGAAGAAGAGAGAACACCGAAATCTCTCCCTTGCCTCACGCAGTCTCAGTTGCAGTTATTTTATACTGGTAATAGTAATACGCAGACATTTATTAAATATTTCGATAGGTTACGTTGTAATCTCGTGACATCTGTGTGTTTTCAGAATGACGAAAACGTGAAGTGTCAACTGTAACGTGCATAGCCACGATAACAAAATAGAGTAGACCTTTGATCTCAAAATATTCATGATTCATAGCCTATAGGGCTCAACTCTCCCCCACCAATTATATATAAAGCTGCGGCTTTTTATAAATTATTGGTAGTTGTAAAATGATTTTTCTGCGCCTATAATTTACACAAAAAAAAGGCCGGCACTACGTACACCGCGGCGGTGTACCTAGCGAAACTATTGACTTTGGCCTGCGTACACCGCGGCGGTGTACCTAGCTAAATCATGGTCTGTGGCCTGCGTACACCGCAGCGATTTACAGTAGCCAAACTATGGTCTTTGCGAGTCTTTAACTTTTTGGCCTAACCGGTACTTGTAGATTTAATGTTATACTCGTGTTAAAACTGAAAACTATTAAAAATTCGTTTATTACGTTGGGAAGATATTGAGTAAGGTCCACGCGTATGTGGCAAAGTGCATGTAAAGCATTTCTTATTATTTTTGGAAGGGAAGGGGCTGGGGGGGGGGTGATGTTAAACCATGATTTATTTTTAAAGTTAACCACTTTATTCCCCCCTCCCCCAATATCTTGAAATACAAATATATTTATTAATTGTAAGTTTTATCATATGATTGTGAATCTTAATTTGAAATTATTCTCTCATGCCCACCCCCACCCAGTTGTTAGTTGTTTTGTTTTGGGTTTGTTTTTTTTTTTTTTTTTTGGGGGGGTGCCTTATAAATATAACATTGTATGTGATCCCTCGGGGCATGGTGTAAAAATGAATGGGAAGACAGTGTATCTATTTTGTTAGCACCATGATATAATTACGCCACAAATACACTACGGGAAGAGAATCACATACTCATACATTGATCATGAAGTCGTGAAGTTAAAGTAGTCCGAGGCATTGTCATTGTGACACCAAGCATGTGTCAACACAAAACAGCAGTAAGATGATCAATACGAAACACTGCAGTTATTTGAAAGTCTTTTAACAATAATTAAAAATCATTGATTTAGTTTTACATTGGCATTACACATTAGTAAAAAAAATGCAGGCAGAGGGAGGGGGGATGCAAAAGGTAAGTTGGTTGTGCGGACGTCCTTTGTGGACAACCCCTATCCTGAGCCGTGATTTGTGAATGCCCTCTTTTTGGTTAAGCCTCTGCCCATAACTCACCACCACCCCCCACTCCCCGGCAAGGATCGATTTCTTAAAAAAAAAAAAAAACAACAAATACAAAAACTTTGACATAGTGCAAATCCTGTCCCAGGCGCATTGTGCAATGGTTTCTGTGAGAAAACGTCGTGTTTTACCCTGAGAATAGCACATGCCATGCCATTCTGGAAACAAATTACGTCATGAAAAGGGTAAACGCAGACCTATGGCTTTGCTATACAGTTTGCTACCGCTCCGCAAGTTTCTAAAATCGAGGTGTTTTCAAAAGATTTGCTGTGAGACTGAGTGTTGTGAATGAACCTTTGATATCGTATGTACATTTTGCCAATGCATAAGGCATAGTGAAAGCAAGATGGTTCAAGGTTGAAATACGACCATGCACATTAATATTCATATGCATGAATATTATTCATACTGGTATTTTCTTTGGTTGTTCGTAAAAGTAAAATGTAAATATTCAACTATACGAAGAATGTTGAAATACAATAGAATATCAGTCACTTAGTATTCATAATGTTTCTGTTATACATGATCATCATGTATTACATGCGCTTTCAGAAACTTTAAGTTTGTTTTCAAATGTCTAAAGTCTTATTACTAAAGTTACCGGTATTTTCAAAGTCAAAGGCTGGCACAACTTGTTGAAACACTTATATATATAAATAAATATATAAAGTGTATTTAATATAATATTTAAACATATATTTAAATTGTTTCAATTGCTACAAAATATTTTAAAACTAAAATGGGAGGAAAAAAACTCGATCTCCCACTGAGAATTGATCTCAAACTATATTATCGCCAAGTGTCCACTCTACCACTTGACCACACAAGATCTTCTCCAACAAGTATATCTTAAAACCAGGCCAATGGTAAATTTTTGCCGCCGTGTACCCAGGCCAAAGCCCACGATTTCACTAGGTACACCGCCGCGGTTTACGCAGGCCAAAGCCGATGGTTTCGCTAGGTACACCGCCGCGGTGTACGCATCCACTTTGAAAAAAAAAGGCCACCCCTGGTGTATTAAAAGTGATGGTTGCTATGTAAAATAATATTTTGATACTGTCAATTTGAATTAATTGAAAATTGAACAATTGTTGAATGAAATGAGCTGTGTAGCGTCTAACAGGCCTACTGCTAGTACTACTTAATATTTTAGGTTACATTATTATTATAAAACTGTTCATTATCTCCATTCTGTATAGTCGAAATTAATCTTATTTTATTGATTTGAACTTATGACATGAACTATCTTACCTAATGCACCTTCACAAGCTTTCTTCAGCTGAGAGTGATACGCCTTTTTTATTTCTTTATCGGAAAGAATTTTTTCCAATGCTCTAGTAAGAAACATTGCTCTTACATGCAAATCTTTTCGGCCTTCTCGGACCAGAATCTTGATGTTACTAAGAGTTTGATTTTAAATCTATTTTTTAAATGCACAAAAAAATATGGTATATTGAGAAAACAAAATCAATCAGATAACAATGTTTTTATCGGTTCAATAAGATTTAGTGACTGGAGAAACATCCGGATCCGCCATGCTGGCGTCACGTGACGTCTAATATTAAATTTCTGTTTCGCTATTTAGTTGCACCTTCACAATATCATTACTAAATAAATTTAAAGTTTAAAGATCATTGAATTTATATAATTATAATTAAGAAAAATATGAGAAGTCTTAATTATTTAGTTTAAAAAAATATATTCTTCGCTCAATAAATAGTAGTGGGTTATCACATTCAGTTGGTGAAAAGATAATTCTACGTTGTGTTTCCATTCAAAAAGGAAGTGAACTATCTTTAATTTAGGTGTGCTTTCTAATTTCAGTGTTTATTTACTTGTTATTGTTAAACTCTGGTTAACATATTTTTTTATCAGCATACGATGGCATCAGAAAAAGAGGACGATCGTCTTACTGTGCCAGATGGTTGGAAAGACAAACCATTTTCAAAAGACGATAACCCAAGAGGATTATTAGCAGGTACAGTTAAAAATTAGGCTTAGGCTTAGGGCTTTTAATTTTACAAAACTAATTTTAGTTAGTAGCCTCAGCTTAGGCCTAGTTACCCCTTGTAAATTTTAGTTTTAGGTTGACACCTGACTCCTGCCCTACTCTAAAAAGTAATAACAGTTACAGTGACTGTCAGTACAGCTACTATCCTACACACTACTGACTCCCTACCCAAGGCCTAGTTAGACTAAGACTAATATCAATGCGGTAATCTTGCAGTACAGGTGCGTAGATTATTTCTGATCGAATTTCGTATTATCTTGTGTAAACTTACATGTATTCTGTATTCTTTATAAAATTTAGTCCAGACAGTATTTGTCAACACTAATTAGTACATAGTTATTAATACCCTTTTCTAGTGAATTAACAATGTGCTTAGAATGGAACATAATGTAGCACATTGTTATTGTTAATTCACTAGAAATATTGCTTAATAGTCTTTATTATTATTGGTACCAAAAATGCCAGACTAGGTTGGCTGCCGTCTTCCTATTTTGGTGGGTTGAGTTTTTCTTTACCCAGGGTTCACTTTTCCCAAAGAAGAGCTCCCTTTCTGGGCTGATGACTTCATTCCACCCAGCTATCTGTTCATAAATGGGATGATTTTAAACATTTTGTTATGATTCATGATGCAGACATATTTTTTTTTTATTAATAGAAACCAAAGTACCGGTACTCCATAATAAAGTCTAATATTTTGTTTCCTGATTACAGATTTTATTTGTATGTTATGCAAAGTATAAAGTCATCTAAATACAATTACTTTATTTGAAAAAGTCATTGGCACAACTGAATAAACATAATAATATATTTGTTTCTTAAATTTCACCTGTCATTAAATAATTATGTTTCAATCATTTAATGGTTTCTCATTTCAGAAAGTTCCTTCTCTGTTTTGTTTCCAAAATATCGAGAGAGCTATTTATCCAAAGTGTGGCCTTTAGTGAAAGAAGTCCTCAGTGAACATGGCATTGAACCAGAGATGGACCTAATCAAAGGCAGTCTTAGTGTAAAAACCACAAGGAAGACGTATGATCCTTACATTATCATCAAAGCCAGAGACTTAATTACGCTCCTTGCTCGTAGCGTTGATCTTGAACAGGCCAAAAAGATTCTTGATGATGATGTTGCTTGTGATATCATCAAAATAGGTTCCATGGTGTCTAAAAAGGAAAGGTTTGTGAAAAGAAGGAAGCGGCTTATTGGTCCAGGAGGTACAACGTTGAAAGCCATTGAATGTCTGACTGACTGTTATGTTGCCGTACAGGGTAACACAGTGGCTGCTTTGGGGCCTCATAAAGGCCTTAAAGAAGTTAGAAAAATCGTCGAGGACTGTATGAAAAATATTCACCCTTTTTTCACTATTCGTACAATAATGGAAAAGCACGATCTCGCCAAGAATCCAGAGATGCGAAATGAAAACTGGGCACCATATTTGCCACAATACAAGAGCAAGAATATTAACAAACGCAAGCAGCCTTTGAAAAAGAAGATAAAGAAAGAGTACACACCATTTCCTCCACCGCAGCCAGAGTCAAAGATTGATAAGGAGCTTGCTTCAGGGGAGTATTTTCTTAAGGAGAATGAACGAAGGCTGCGTAAGGCAGAACTAAAGAAACAAAAGCAGAAGCAGTCGAAACAGGACAGGCAGCAGAAGAGAGATAAATCATTTATAGCCCCCGAAGAAACTTCAGAACCAGCAAGGAAAAAGATTAAACTTGATACAAGTGCTAAAGTAGACTTAAGCAAGTTAAAAAAGAAATTTAACAAAATTTCAAAAAAATTGTAATGAATTACCATGAAATAATTATGAACCGGTAAAAGAAAAATTAACCTGCATTGAATAATCATTGAGTGGCTTAAATTCCCTAAGTGCTGGTTGAGACTCCCATAACTAGGTTTCAAAATGTTTAGCATTTTGGATTACTGCTCATGTCAATGTGGTCAAGTTGAAAATAAAATTCAGTTGAAATTGCTTTATGTTCACTTTGTGGTTTCTTCTTGCTTGTTGTAGGATGGTCATACCAACAACACTATTTTTTTAATATCTTACACTTACACTGCCCTCTCTTGTTGACATCTTACACTAACACTGCCCTTTCTTGTTGATTGACATCTTACACTTACACTCTGCCCTCTCTTGTTTGACATCTTACTCCTGTCTCCTTCCTTTTTAAACAAATTTACTTCATAATTTTATAGATCAACTTAAAAACTTTTTCTTCTTATTGCTCATTTGTGGTACCATATAAAATATTACAAACTTTGTTTCCTTTTCTCACATGTTTTCACCTAAGTTAAATACATAAACTGATATTTATAGCTGATCAAATTAATCAAATAAGTATTCATTCATTCAGTACTTACATTACTGAAAAGAAAAACTTAATATTTTTCTAGTTCTAGGATTATTAACATAGTTCTTGACTACTGAGTGCACTGTGCGTACTGTATGGAGTGAGTTCTCTTTGTCAGCCTAGTCTTCGTATATAGTCGTCTATATATATATAACCAATAATATCAACATGCATCATCTATACCATGTGCTCATCTTGGTTTGTGTAGAGTTGAAGTAAAAGTTTACCTGTTTGTTCTCATACGGTACCTTAGTTCCCAGTGGTGTATTTATGAAAATGGATCTACACTTAATGTTCCGCCTTTTGAATCAGTAATTTTAGTCATGTTCTGCCCATCTTGCAGACTTCCAGAGACTAACATGTGTCACAAGCAATGTTCCCTTTAAGCTGCGCTGCTGTACAGTAATCTCACAGAAGCAGCGCAGCAGTTTTGAGTACCGCGCAGCTAATTTCAACTTAGGGTGTGTTGGTGTCTGTAGGCTGTAAAATTTGCGCACAAAAAAAATTGATGCAGTAAAAATTTGCACACAAATTTATGATTTTGCACACGAACCAACAAACCTTAGAGGGAACATTGGTCACAAGTATCCATAACTTATAAATTTATTCAAGTCACTCTTGTGATTTTGATAAATTACCCAAGTATTTGTAAGATGTGATAGTAAAAGAATTGTCACTGGTGGAATATAAAAATAAAATAATCAAACAAGAGCTGATGTTTTTTAAAGTAACTTTTATTATTACCGGTAGTAAAATGAATGAAAGTGTATTAGTTTATTGTGATGTCTTAAGCCAATCACTCGTTTGTTACATCAAAAGAGTAAATAAGTTCAACCATCATGACATAAAATGTAAATAAAATGTGAACCATCTTTTACTATAATTTATAGTAATATTTATAGTAGTATTTATAGTATAAATAGGGAACATCGGATCTGACGTCATTGAATAAAGAAAATGATCAATTGATAACAAGTACAAATGGTACAAATGTTCAGGATTAACTTTGAAAATCATATTACTGGGAAATAAAAAAATATATATACCGTCAATCTATGTTCATAATAAAAGAACCATAATTGGACATTTAAAAATAGGCTCATCAGCATTGCTCATCTTGCGCTGAGACTTAGGCTTGATTTATAGTAACATAATATTACAATTATACAGAGAACATTGCTTATGTTACAATACATATTACAGTAGGCACCAGGCCTGGTATTTCTTGAGGAAAATCATTCCACATTTATGAATGATTCAGAGCAGGATTGCTCCCAACCTTTTCTGCACACCCTATGAATTGTTTTACTTAGTCTTTCACCTTTCAAAAGTTACTACGCATTTTAAAATTGTAAAGAAATGAATTTTTAAATATTGAATTTCAATTACCGTACAAAAAAACCTGTCAAACTTGAAAAATAAACTCGTGACTTATATATACTTATAACATAAATTTTAAGGTTAGAATGTTAATGAAAGGGAAAAAAAAATTATTATAACATTTATATCAATTTTAATTATATCATTACTGTGTTCTTATAATTACTTTTCCTGGAACTCCTTGAAATGCCATCTCAAATTCCTTGAAATGCCACCTGATTTAGTTAGGGAAGAAAACATTCAATTCCTCAGTTCATTTGGCTTTGGAGCCATGTCATCAACTCTCAGCATCATCATACTATCCATGTATGGTAGTCAAGTTGCCGATTCTCAAACCTGTGCGCTTGGAAATTTGTGGTTTCCGTGTTGACATCCCAGTTTTGTCATTTTGGTGTTGAACTGAGCATGTGAACAGCACCTCCAATAGTACATTTTGCCCACATTTGTTTCTGAAAGATTGAAATTAAATGATTGCTAGTTATACTCTTGCTGTACATTTGATTTTATGGATAGCCACATGAATAAAACTGTACCTTGATGAAACCAATTAGTGTTGTGGGGCTATATATTCTGGTGCCATCATCTGTGTGAGAGCAATTACTTGCAGCAATATAATAGTTGCAAAGCCTGTTATTAAATCCTTTAATATTAACTTCGCTTTTGTTCCTGACTGGCTGGCAAAATCTTCGGACTTCTAATTTACCAACTACCCGCCAACCTATCTAGCTGAAACTTGGCACAATGACTTGTTGCAGATGACAACACATTCTATCAAATTTTCAACCCCAACTCCCCAAAAATCAGTTTTTTCAAGGATAAGTGGATGGAAATGTGACACTTATTTTTTACAAAATAAAATTCCTAACTGCACTCAATGAGAATCTTTTTTTAAAAATATCGCAAGTGTGTTTGGTGTGTAATAATTTCTTTTGTTTTTCTAAAGTAGTTGGTGAAATAAATCTGCTGTGTAAAAGCAGGTGGGTGATTAGAATATTAATAATATAGTTCAGGGACGTGAAAAAATATGTGGTTGCGAATCTTGGGTGGGGGGCCCTATTTGGGATTCTTGTATGCATCTTCTCTCCAATGTTCAGCCCCCACCCCATTGCTCAATATTACATTGTATAAAGGATTTAGATGGAAAACTTTGTTTTTAGGGGTTGTTTAATTTTTAAAACTATTTTTAACTATATGGTGTGTGGGGGAAAGTTGTTTCTTTATAAATTACCAGTATACAAAGTTAAGTAAATTATTTATGAAATTGACTGATAAAAGCTAAAAGTTAAAGGTGCAATTTGAGATAATTAATTAAATATGAAATCAATATTCAATATAATGAAAATTGCAAAATTTTATCTTTTGCACATTTTATAAATTATTAGTGTAAGCTCTTATCTGCATAATGCGTACCTAACAGAACAGGTTTGCAGGAATGGTAATGGCAGACAGAATTCGCCCTTTCTGTTTTTGAACTGAATGTCTCAAGGCATCGTGTACACTCGGGGAGCATTGGCTTGATTTCAAATCTTCCAAGTTTCCTGGATCCACCAATCAACTCATCAGCAACATTGATGGTGTTTTGAACTTCAGTTCTGTTAGATTTTTCACTTTCTTTTTTCTTTTTAAGCTGCTCTATCTGCAATATTTTTGTTTAAAGAAAGAAAAATTAAGCAAACTTATTATTTAATATTATAAATACAAAATATAATAATAAAAAATGATGACCAGGCACCAGCAAGTTAATTTTCATTTAGAATTTTTTTTTTTCATATTGATTTGCGCTGGTCAGCAAACATATTTAGCTGGGCGGCAAAACTCTGCAGAAGAATTAGTTCAATTAGTTGACTAAGCTTCCATTTTAGACAAAAATTGTAAAATTACCTGGTATCAACTAATTTATTTTTCTTTAAGAAGTTGCACACAAATATTTATAATTTATATTGTTTTAAAAAAAAGCTTACAAATGAAATATGTAATAATACAATGGTTTTTAACTTTCCAACTGTTATTATAGCTAATACTATTGTTTAGAGAGCCATGTTAAATATAAATAGCTTTCAAAAGTTACCTCCTTGATTGATATTCCCAGTGCATGCACACTTAATCCTCATGAGAAAAGAAAACCTATTTGTATCGCTGAAGGTATTTTTTAGATCTGTCTATTTCACAAACCCAATGAATAATACAATTGATGGCCTTGCAACGTTTCACGTTAAAGAAACAATGTTTCAAATATCCTAGCAAAAAAGCAGAAGCAGATTTTTGTACATTACCCTGTATCTTTATTTGAAATAAAGAGCATCTAGCCAGGTTGTGAAATTATTAACTATGGAAACAACTTATTTAGATTTTTAAAAATTGAGATGTTCCATGGAATTTTTTACTACCTTGCTTACACTTTCATTTACAGAATAGTTACATTGCCTGATTGATAGAATTTGAGTAAATGTTAAATTTCCCTCGATATTCTTTCTTGCATTGGTGCCAATTTACAGAATACAGGCCTTTAATTTTGCAATATTTGAATATGATGAGGATAGGAACTATATCAACAAGTAGAAGTACTTGTAGTCAAAAGATAAAGAAAAAAACTCCAGGTGAAAATACCAGTATCAGAATTTATTTTAGCCCTGGATGCCTGAAATATCTTCTTCTTCTTCTTCTATATCTTAAGGGCCCACGATCAATTTATTGATCATTTTGGCTCCTATGCATGTAGATGGGATTTGCAATGTTTCTGTTACTGGTGGTGATGAGGAAATTATGCACTAGGGGTTTGAAGGCTTGAGGCAATAGACACAAATGTGTCTAGTGTTGTCGCCTCAACCGTTCCTTTTGAAAGATGGTTCCAGTCTATACTGGTACTTAATACTAATACTAGGAACCAGTTTTCACCTGTTAATTAAATTACCGTACTAATAGGATATATTGGTATATATAAAAATAACTCTTGTAATCAGTCCATGGGTGTAAAGCAAGGATGAAAACAACTGGTTTATAATTCAGTACTGATTTAAAACAATAAAAATTAAGAAAACAACTGTACTGAAATTTTAAGTACTATGGTTAAGTTTGAAATTGAAAAATTGTGCAGTAGCTTAGTATTAAAATTAGAGACCAATGCGACTCACCAACTTTTAGTTTAAGAAATTTTCCAAAAAATAAAATATATGCCATATATTTCTTTGTTGAAGCTGAATTTTCGCTATAGACCCACATCTAATTTGCGTTTGAATTTAATACTATTATTATTGGATAAAATAGTTCTGAAATAATAAAACTGGTACTAATTAAATCAACCTACAATTCTTTTCTTAGTCTTTTTCATCTTCTTCTCTTGCTCTATAATAGCCAGCTTGGTGTTGGCTTCAATGATTTTGAATGTTTTTTCCACCAGCTTCTCCTGCAATTTCTCCACAATAGATTGAAATTCTTCCTGCGTGGTTCTATTATTCATCTCGCTGCTATTTAAAAGTGCATCCTGCAATAAAAAAAGTTTGAAACTGATGCAATTTCTAAACTAGCAAACTTTTGGATTGCAACATTTTAGAGTATTTGTACATTTGAGTAAACTATTTATAAAATTTAATAAATCCTCAATTTCATTTCGATTTCAAGCCATTATTTGAAAATTAAAATCTCATTTTAATGCTAGTTTGTTTGTTGTTGTTTTACTTGTTGTTTATAATATATTTTTATGGGAGAACTGTAATCTGAAACGGAATTTTAATTTTTTACATTTTATATTCTTAGAATTAAGTAAAGGCATTCTGATTTCTTTAGAGACCTGTTACAGTTACAGGTTTTAATTTTAATATCGGTACAACGCTCTTCATGGCATTATGATTATGGTGAAATGAGTTATTAATAAAAAAAAATATTGTTAGATTATATATAAGTATATAAGATATATTTTTTAAAACTGATACATGATACAGAAATAACTGCTG